ACCACGGGCTGCAGGGGAATCGCTGCTCCGGTGCATGAAGCACCTCTTCCCTCTCCTTCTTCACTGACCTTGGTGTCTGCACAGTTGTTTCTCTCACATGTCCTCTCTCCTCTCTCTCTGGCTGCAGTTGCTCAGTTTTTTTTCCCTTTCTTAAACATGTTATCCCAGAGGCGCTACCACTGTCACTGATGGGCTTGGCCTTGGCCAGTGGCTTGGAGCCATCTGACATTGGCTCTGTCGGACATGGGAGAAGCTTCTAGCAGCTTCTCACAGAAGCCACCCCTGTAACCCCCCCTGCTACCAAAACTTTGCCACACAAACCCAGTACAAGCAGCAGCATGTGTCTTCTCATCAGCTTCCAAGGGGCCCTAAAGCAAGTAAAGATGTCCCTGAAGACAGCTCTGATTGATCCCATCACAGTGAAGACAAGATGGATCTAACTGAAACCCCTCAAGTACTTTAGGAAGCAGCACTCAGTGGTGACGCCACCCGGGTCCCTGCAGCTGAGATGCCTTCCTGTGCAAACAGCTCCATAGGACCCTGCTTAGAAAGAGCTCCATGGCTTTAACCACTCACACAAACAAACATCTCCAAAACATGATGTCCCGCCACAGCGCCAGCCCCAGCGGAGCCTCTGGAAGCCCCAAGCGCTCTGTGGGCTCTTCGTCTCCTTATTTCAGTTACCATGTGAGAAGTATGTAGCTTCTTGCATGGCTCCAATTTAGGAAAGCATCTAACTGTAAGAAATAATTTACCAATCTGGGATTTTCATCAGAGGCAGGAGATACCCTTTCCTGTCAGAGCTTTTGCTCTTTACAGCTGCATGCAGCATGTCGCAGCTCAGCTCCTGGGGTGAAATCCAGTTTTTGCTTGAATTTCTGGTTTATGGTATGCCAATTTACTTAACAGATCAAGATCACTAATTTGGGTTTAGTAAAACTTTCAGGTTCACTTTCTATACAGATGGCCTTTTACACCAGCTAGGACAAATAATGTGAACTTAGAGCCATTGAGATGTTTATAAATTCTCAGAATAAAACTCCCAACAAATCTTACTATAAAATGACCTGCAAGAGAATTTAGGATTTTGGTGTGTTGGGCGGCATGAAGGCTGGTCTTTTGCTTCTGTTTTAGTCAGCACTGATCTATTCCGATCCCCTTTTCTTGATATACAGTGTCAAGCACACAGCAGGAAAGATCTCCATTCAGCTTCCATAGGCTCATTCAGTTTGGCTTTTCCCAACTCTTTAAACTCGGCTGAAAAAAAAAAACTTTATGTGCTTTAAGCTCCTTTGAAATACAGGCAACTTGGAACTGCAGAAGCTGCAGCCCTTCTACATTTGATACTGCAAGCTGCAGCCACTGTTTAGATACAAGAAAAAGCATCTCTCTGTCATTCAGCAATACTTTATAATTCATGCAAAAAAGGACAGGTAATATAGGAAGATAGTACAGCTGCTGTGCTTTCCAAATTTTCCAATTGGAACTAATTGCTTCATTAGCTTTACAGGGTAACATGTTAAAAAAAAATGACGAGAAATACATTATAAACAATCCTACTTATGGATTAACACAGATCGTAATAAAACATGAGTAAAGTTTTATTGTTTCCTCTTTTACCTGTCTCCTAATATAACCAACAAGGCTTTATCTGTAAAGGATTGTCTGGAATTCATGAAAAGCTCCGCTTAATCTCTGGCTGAGATATGTGGCCATCAGGTTTTCTTCAGCTGAGTTCATGTGTGTGTGTTCTGTGTGAGAAGCAATCACGACAAAGATGTAAAATTATGCAAATAGATTTGCTGGCTGCACCTGTAATATGAAAAATTAATTTAAGAATGAAGAAGCAGAGACAATTCTGATTTGACAGGTACACCTCAATCCACATGTTGTCTTCGGTTTTGGTTTTGTCCCTCTGCTGATAGCTCCTCTCTTCCTCTTTCACAGTAAATCACATGAAGGTCACTCCCATGGATGTATCCACGGCCTCTCTGCTCAACGTCTTCAACGGGAACGAGTGTGGAGCACAGGGGTCCTGGCAAGTTGGGGTCCAGCAAGATGTCACCCACACGAATGGCTGCATCGCGCTCGGCATCCGCCTACCTCACACCGAGTATGAAATCTTCAAAATGGAGCAGGACGCCCGGGGCAGGTACTTGCTGTACAACGGCCAGAGACCGAGCGATGGGTCCAGCCCCGACCGACCAGAGAAGAGAGCCACTTCCTACCAGATGCCTTTAATTCAGTGTGCTTCGTCAGTACCCAGATCTGAAGAGTCACCAGAGGAGAATAAAATAAGGCTGTATAGCAGCAGGGCACCGGAAAAATATCCCACTGCCCCAGCTCTTGCTTTGGTGTTGTTTATTTGTACTGTGTCATATTGGGACATTCTCAGCTAGAAGTGAAAAAAACTTATTTTTCATGACTACAAAGCCAGGATTCCACCAGACTGGGGGTTGTTTTTCTTCCAAAAGAAAGGGACATTTATTTTCTTGATGCACTTGAATGCCTGAGAACTGTTGTTCTTTTCCTTACTTCCCCCCTCCTCCTCGAATCCCGAACGGCACTCGTTTGATGTTTGTGCTTTGAACTTCATCCAGTCTGATCCCTGGCCTGACATGACTGCACAAAAGTAATTGCACTTTAGGACTGCAGACTTCTGGGGGGAGGGAGGGGGTCTCCTTTTGTTATTATTTTTTAACTGCTGGGGTGAACGTTACGATCCTGCTTCAGTCGTCTCTGCCATCTTACCGTTGTGGTACTGTTCTCCCCAGCGCCCCGTTTCTCATCAGAATTCAGCGCTGGGGAAGGGCTCGGTGTTGTGCCAGTACTGTGATAGCAGCTTCCCCCTCTGACTTCACAGCTCTGATGTAGATATGTATATAAGGAGGAAACCCACAAAGATTTACCTTGCCATTATCTCACAGCTCGTAACACAAAAAGAAACGGCAAATCAACAGCCCTCCAATTCAGATAGTCCTAAACGGTTGTTACTTCTAATTTAAAAATATTTCAAGTAATTTAAGCTATTTTTACAATCATTAGATTGTAAAAATAACCAGTGGTTTAATATTTTCTTGTTCAATTTCCTTAGCTATGCAATTGCTTCGAGGCCTCCCGTTGTATCTAGTGAGTAGTTACAACCAAGCCCCCTTAAAGCCAGACAGAAGCAGCATTTTTCTGTCAGACACACACAGTGCAGGTCAGTTGCCGACACAAGGCTGCAGGGACTTCTTCTGTTTTCATATTCCCGAGGCCTTACTTACTGCACAAGCAGTATTTGTGCCTTGGATTTTGTGTCAGCCAGGTGGGCAAAGTAAAGAAGCGAGTGGGGTCTGACATGTTCCACCACCCTATTTAGCAGCATATTTTTAGTGATGTGACCTCATGCAGGAACAAGTAAAGGGTTTCAGCAGCAAGCTCACCGTGGCACCTAGTAGAGCAAGAAAGCAGCTGGAAACAGACCCGCATCCATCTGAGGGAGGGAGACAGGCCCAGTCTTACCAGAGGGAGGAGTTGCACAAATGCAGCCATGTCCTCCCTTTTCTCATTGCTGGACTATCCCAACACATACCATGGTTTCACAGAGCTTAAATTAGCATTGGTTTGGGGGGACACTGCTGGGACTGTGGATAGGCACAGCCCTCAGAGAGCATTCTTCAACAAGTGCCTGCCCTGGAGATGCTCAGGTTTCCCCCAGTGGCAAATACATCCTTGGCTGATGCGAATCGGAACAGACTCTGGAGGCCGTAGGGGAGATATTTACAGCCAGCAAAGAGGTACAAGTTCGTAGATCAACCATGCTCCCCTGCTTTAATGTGAGCTGAGGACACTGCTTAACCTTGCGGCATTTGGGCTGTGGCTTTTACTGATGCATACACGTGTTTTGGCTTGCAGGAGGAGCAGGAACCTGTGTGAGAAACATCAGGAGTATGGTCATAGCATTTCTTCACTAGCATCAGCGGCTTCTAGCTGCTCACTCGAGTACTATGGGAGAAAAAAGCCTTTAATGTGTTATTTTCAGCATCATAGAAGTATGTCTTGAATGAAGATCTTTCAGCTTTACATAGATGAGTCTCCATACTGTCTGCTATAGCAAAAGCATTCTTTGAAAACATAGCGACAGCATGGATCTTACTAGCAAAAACAGCAGGAAAAAGCCATTTGAGCAGCAAATGGCTGTGCTCAGGCTCCCTACCTCCGCAAAGTCCATGCCTTCTTGACAGTTTTTGCAAGCTGGTATCAGCCTTGGACATGAATTTCCTCAGAGTCGTAACAAAATCAGTTCACCTTGTTCTGAGACAGCAGGCAGAAGGGGAGAAGGAACAGTATCATAGACTTACTGCTGGGTCAAATCACATCTTTGACATTTTTTCCTCAGACAGATGAAAAGTCACAGAAAGCTCATTAAGAGTCAGGAACAGAGCTCAGCACAGCTCAGGAATCACCAAAGAAAGTGTTCATCCATCCATCTGATATCAGATCCTCCTTCAGCCTGCTGGAAGGAGCTGAAAGCCAACTCATCATGATCAATTGAGCCTCTGAGCAACAGCTGCTCTGATCAGCATTTCGTGATGGTTTTCTGCTCCACACAGTCAAACCTACTTGAAGAGCCAGTTCTGGATCAGTTGCTGGTAGGGAGGCATCAGGAGCACAGCTTTAACTAGAGGGTCAAGAAGGAGACACAATGCCCCTGAAAGAGAAGCTAGGAACCAGGACGGAGTTTGGTTCTCTCTAGCTAGACTTGAGTTTTGTATTCAGCAGATTGACATCAGTGTATCTCCAACAGAACTACTGAGCTATTACAGCTAAACAAATCCCTTAAATACTAGCTTCATTTCTGACTTCTGTTTGAGACCTAGCAGCATGAGTGAATTCACGTTAGTTTTTATTTATGAGGATGGGTATGGCATGATATTCCTTAGATGACACAAGACAAGTTTCTTCCACCACTACTGACCATTGCCACGTTAGGTGATCCTGTCTCTGGGAAAACATCCATGGCTAGGAGCTGTTGGACCCTGATCCTTCCCTGTGCAAGTGCCACACACAGCTCGGTCCCAGCTGAAATCGGCACATGCTGGTGATGCAGGACTGAAGCAGAGAGCAAGGGAGCTGCTCTGCAGCACAATGTTCTCTATTCGTCAGGGCAACGATCTACAGTTTATTAGGCAATTTACAGAGCAGGCATAAGGCACTACTGTCAGAAATATTAGAACAGTTTCAAGAGAAAGACCAGTCTAATTCTTACCTCCAAAAAGCACATTCCTGTCTCAACTGTTTTGAATCACAGACTTGGGAAAGTCTAGGTTTTCGGAGGCTTACAGTTACACTAAATGCAAACAGGACTCAATGTACAAGTTGTACAAGAACTGCATTTTTTTTTCCCTATCATCTAGAGATAGTTGCGAAGGAAGTATTTGAAAAAAGGCCTTCATAATGCATTACAAGAAATCTGACTGGGGGCTCCTCTAGTTTATTTGTAGTGTTGACCAGAAACGTAATTTTATGATCTGGATTCTTAGCACATGCTGCACCAGCTTCCCTCCCTGTGCCTATATATTTTTCTTTGTTTTTCTATTAGCCAATGCAAGTCAAGTTGGACAAAGATGTAAGCCTTTAGAGTGCATAGTTTATTTGCAGATCTGTGTTCTCTGCGTGGCTTCTCCTACGTTACAGGCACAGAACTAGAAGCTTCCTTGATCTTTCGGTTTCATCACACACTAAATTAACTGCTGCACAGCACCATATAGATTTGTGACGCAATATATTCTGTTCATTTTATTTCTCCAACCTGATGTCATGTGCTGGCAGCCCTGGCTGCTAAAGAAGCTAAGCTGCAAGTGGTTTAGCAGGGAAAGACCTACAAAGTGCATGATTTGTCCCATACCGAAATGCAGAAGCTTTAAAACATGAAACAATGGTGGTATCTTCAATAACTGCCAATGTTGCTAGGACAGGTGGAAGTTTTTCCCTCAGTAACATCCGGCTCAGGGAGCCACCTGACAGAAGAGAGAGTAACCTGAAGAAGTTCTTAGGCAAATTGTTTTAACATGTTCTACTTAAGAAATAGGACAGAAGGGATCAGAAAAATCAAGTGTTCTTGCTCTGTTTCTATACCCTTGACATATTGTGCCTGCTGCCCTGGGGTAGTGTCATTTTTATGAACAAAAGTCCATATTTTAAGATAGAATGTCTGTCTTGCTTGAGTTGGAGTGTGCTTGCTTGAAGTGCAGGATTTAAAAGAAAAAAATCTTTTTATTTTTGTAAATTTATAGAAGATATTTTTCTTCTCAACTATGTTCCAGATTAAACTGCCGGGGAAGTTTAAGCACTTGTTAAACTATTGATTGAAATAAAAAAGCCCAACTGAAAAATTAAGCATTTCTTTGCCTCCTGTACAGGTTGGATTTCTGTTCTGTTGACTTTCAACCTGTAAAAAATGACAGATGTCTCAAAGCGATAAACAAAAATCCCCCTGTTGAGTACTTTGTGCATGGAAAAGCTCATTTCTTACTATATACACCAGAAAACATTTTTGCTTGAGAACATGTCACTAGGAACAGCTCTGATGGATACAGCTGGGATGATTTGGGTATCACATCTTCAGGTTCTCCGAATAAAATGGGGGCTGGAAGTGCCCAGTGAATAATCACGGTGCTGGACTGCAAGGAAAGTACGGTCAGAGCAGCTGTCAGGACAAAGGGTGTAGTTCAACGGAAACAAAATATTTTCATAAATGAGATGTAAGCAAACAAACCAGCATTACTGCTCTGCTGTTGCATCTCACTTGCTTTAAGGGCTACAGCCTGGGGGAGAGAGCAGGGAGGGATTGGAAAGGGCGCTTTTTTCCAAACGGAAGAAAAACCTGAAATGAACTGCGAAGGGGAAGCAAGCCTCAGGGTAACACAGGCATCTTTCCTCAGTGCTGTGCAGGTTCGCTCCTGCCTTGCTTGTGCCCAGAAAGAAGAGGTGAAATGCAGTCTGTGAGACTTCCACCACCAAAACAAAAAGCTTTGGAGCTGACCAATTTCTGGGTTTTCAGAGGTGACTCCGGAGATCCCTGAAAGCGGAGCTCGGTTTTCAGGAAGCACCCCCTGAAGTACAGGGCACCCCAAATGTAGCAGCCACAGCCTGTGAAGAAGTGCCCTCCCTTCCACACAAAGCAGCGGGTACGGATGGATTCGGGCATAGAGAGATTCTACGGGGCATAACTGACTTGCTCCTGACACAACAGGGAAGTCTAGGTAATAAAACCCAGCACCACTCATTCTGAATTTGATGGTTTCATTATTTTTTCCATAATTTTCCCTCTTGCTACAAGTATTTGCCAAGGATTTTTCCTTCTAGTCCTCTCTAGTGCAACCACCGTTGATTTTTTTAATTGCTATTTGCTGCCAGCGATAAATAAGGAACCGAAGAAACAGAATTCCCACCCCACTACCGAGTGAGGCGGCAGCAAACACGGCTATGAGGAATCGCGCCACCAGTGCCCTCCCCAGCGGGGAAGCTGGCGGCCTGAGCTGTCCCTCGCCGGGCACCCTCCTTCCCCCGCCCGCCCCAGGGGCAGGACCGGCCTATCGGACGATCCCCGCTACAAGGCCCGGAGGGCAGGAATTCATCCCGACGAGTCTTCCAGCAACGGGAACCGCCCGCGACGGCCGCCTCCCAGCAGACA